TCAAGTTCAAAATGAACTCCACATGGTTTTGTGGCACGAAATCCACAATTCTTGTTTTGGTATCAAAGGATCAAAGGAACGAATTAAAGGGAAAGGGGTGGGACGGGTGGGACTATACTATAATGATTTGAGGCTTTTGACTGCCAGTGAACGAAGGTCAAAGCAAGAAAGTGGTTCGGATCAAGTAGGGGGCTTTGTTCGTTCCCATGTTCTCCGCGTCTCTTTTTTCGATCACCTAGCTTCCCAGGGAGAATGAAGGTCGCGTTGAGTCTCTTTTGCATACACTAGTTATTACTATTGCACATTTTTTTTAAAACTTTTTGAGATACACACGAAAAGCAGAATCAGCATGTGTGAAAACACAGACAGGATGTGCTTTATGTTGTAGCACGAAACCTTCCTTCTCCCGATGCGTCCTGTCAGGTGTCGTGATCTACATGGTCCTGTCTCTTATTGCAACAGCACTTGTGTGGACATATCTTCTGAACCCCACCGCGACGAAGGCAAAGCCTGCTCCATCAGCCCAAGTGCTTGGTCATGTGAGCAGCGCCGGCGTGCTGGAGGAGTTGCCAGTGCCCACGGAGAGCAGGCCCATGAGTTTGTAGGCGAAGGCGTTGAGAAGGCGCCGCCGCCAGACTCTCCCTCACCTCAGAGATCTAGGACCCTCTGGAGGCGCTATTTTTGAATAGGCATCTGCGATGTCACGATCCGCCGTTCGCGGCGGAAGCAACATATTCTTTTTGTTTATTTTTCCGCGATGGAACAAGGCTGCGCTGTAGAAGAACTGCGGTCGGCTTCGGATTCAGAACATCGAAAAGCTTCACTACTCATGGCGTTTTTGGTTCGACCCTACAGCGATGCCTTGGCTGCAGAGTAGTTTGGCACCGGTGGAAGAAATCCTGGCCTTTTTGGGGGCCTTCATGAAGTTCCAGGAGACTACTTTTCTATATTGTTTCTTCAATGCGTTGGCTAAGTGAAACAGATCAGCCTTGTTGGCTCAAAAATACAGGGTCCAATATTAACACAACGCCATAATAATTTTGTTTGAGACCCTGACAAAAAATATTATATATTATATCAAACATCTCAAGTCTTGGATCTGAGTGTCAATCGTGATGTCTTGTGTAAGTTTGTCCACTTGGTCTTTGGGCCAAGAAAGGTGCGGCGGTGACCAGTCTACTCTGCAAGAAGAACAGGGGATCAGACTGAGTATGACTGCCATGAGGCTCATGAAGTGCTCAGCTCGTCTCCGTTAGTGCTGTCTCTCAAAAGTCCGCGGAACCTTCGCGGCACCGACGACAGACTCGGTTCGTGATCAGGGATTCCGTGGCCGAGACCAGTGAAAAGCGATGAACAGGAAAAGAACCAGTAAAACCTGTTCTTTCATATTTTTAAGTTGTGTGTTTGTAATGACCAAGTCCAGTAGACTGAGATCAAACAGACCCGGTTCGGGGAACATTGAGCACTTTCGGGATATTGTCTCAGAGTTCCAACTTGCGATCCCCTCCAGAAGAACGACGTCTGCCTTCTTTTCTGTCTTCTTTTTCGGTCCAAGAGCCGATTTTTTTGGGGCTCAAGAAGCGAAGATGTGAGACGTTGGGCGTCCGTAGCGTCCTCTTAGTTCCTAGTAATGGCCTCCACCCTGCTACGTTCGTAGCTTCTTGTTCCGTTCATCGGTCCGGCCAGGGCCTCGCCCCCGTTCGGCCCGTTCGGTGACGGTTCCGTCGCGTCCGAGGATGTGAGGAGTTGGACCAAATCGGCCCCACCGCCCTCTTTTCGGTGGCTTGAGGGTTCAGAGGTCACCGCCGGGGCTTCTCCCATCCTTTCTCCCATCAAACACACGGGATCCGTCGAAAAAAGAGATTGGTGTTCCTTTCAATTGCATGAGCCACAGGAGAATGTCAATCCCAGAATCCACAAGAGGCTTTCCCCCCAATCATATACCCGTCTCCTTGTGTCAGCCAGCCGGTGTCTCGCGACCCGATGCCCGCCGCCTCTCACCTCCCCTGCTTAGCCTTTGACCGCGCTGCGCTCGAACACCTGCGTCGCAAAAAGAAGGGATGACCGGGCGCTCTTGCTTGGGGTGGCGCGGAAGGTGCAAGTGCAGCAAAGCCAGATGAGAACATGGAAGCCAAGCCAGTGACGTTGTGCAAGCACAATCCCTAAATCTCTAAGGGCTTGGAGGTGGTGTCAAGGCTCGGCCAAGTCGGAGAGTAAAGTGCTAAGTTGTCCACCGACATGTCCGTGTTCAATCCTGTCTCGGGCTTTTCGATTTGGCCATGGGAAACTCGTCTAAGCATACCAGCAGGAACAATACTCTGTAATCAGACTGGATGCTGTACTGCTTCCAGTTCCTTTTTTGTAACATATGTATTTCACTTTATCTTTTTGATGTGTGCCGTTTCGCTATCATGGCAGGTTGGGGAAGGATCAATGTTTTTCATTGAGAAGCTACTAGTAGCAAGGTGCATCGCTACTAGGAGCAAGGACGCTACTAGTAGCTCCTGGCATTGCGACTAGGAACAAGGGCATCGCTACTAGTAACATATTGCACTCAGCACACTCGTTCGCTAGACTTGCCGTTCTCCAGTGGCCACTCCATACTGGGGAGCTTCGTAGAGGGTTTCGCTCAGGGGTTGGGTAGGGTTCGTAAACCCCTGCTCTGTTAAGAAGTTAAGATGCTTTGGCTTCCACGAAATCCCAAGAGGGCTATTTTTTGGGTTGAGTTTGCAGAATTTTTGTGTGGACTGTGTGGATCTGCTTCTTGCGGCTGTTCTGGCTTTTCCTCAAACCGCAGCGATATAATGGTGCCCTTTCTTCCACTGTAAGCACCTCCTGCCAGGCCTGCGACGTCCTGCCGAGCATCCTTGGGAGCGAGAGTGCACGGGCAAAAGAAATGGGCCACCACGTGCCGCCTTTTTGTTTTTGTTTTGTTCTTTTTTTCAGAGGCCAACTTAGAAGCTCACCATCATCATCACCAGGTTCTGATACTCCCGAGAGGCTTTCACACATTTTTCGACTTGACTACCTTCCTCGGGTAAACATTTTTGCAAACATCATTCACGAAAAGGCCAACCGTTTCTTGACAAGATGCTTTGCAGGGAAAGGATCAACCAAAACACTGTGGGATCATCTCAATCTGAAGGGCAAGCTGTGGGGAAATTTCTGGGAAGATGCAAACATCACAGCAGATTGATGTCGAGGATGTACACTTTTCTGAGGGCTGATCCCAAAAGAAAGGCATCAACTTTAGAACCATGTGGCGGCCATGTGGCTTCTGCCATGATTCGTTCTTCCATGTGTCATCTAAACTGCAGCGCAGCTGCCCAATGGGCCGTTGGATGGATGGATGGTTCGCGATCCGTGATGACACACCCCTTTTTGGGCTCGGAGCTTCGCGGGGCTCGGAGAACTTGGAGGAAACGAAAAGGAACGGAACGGCCAAGAAGTGGAGTCCTTTTTTTTCAGCGGAACACCAAGCACCCGTGTCAGGAACGGATGGCGAAATCCGTTCCATGTTTTTTGGACATGGGTTTGTGAACATCATCGGATTTGCCATGAATGGGTGGATTTTGCCGCTGATGTTTCCTGATATGATGCATCAATCGAGGTGCCATTCATCAATTGACCAAGTGAATTGACCGGGTGAGTGTGGCCGTGTGGCCGTACGAGACTTTGGACGTCATGGACGCACGAATCGATGCTTCTGAACCGTGGATGGCCATGTCCACACTGCCGCCTGCCTGTGTCTTCTATGGCCTTCAGGGTGGAACGTTGCTTTTCTGAAATGTGACAGGATCCCCCAAAAACACCATAGAACTGCGTCAAAGCAATGTGATTGCATCAGGAGAATCGAAAAAAAACACCCCGGAACCTGGCTAGACTAGACTGGCATCTCTGTGTGCATCAAATACCAATGAAAAGGCCAATACAGGCTGAAGATGGTATACTATAGTTGTTCTATAGTTGTCATCTGAAAAGAATTTCCCACGCGTCAGTCCGTGAGTGCCTACGGACTCGCCGACACGCTGCTAGGGGAATTGGTGGGAATCCTGAGCGAACACCAACAGATAATGTACAAAAACCCTCGACTTCGGTTCTTGTCATTAGAATGGGACTTTTGGACCTGGTTTGGTGTCAAATCCTTCGTAAACCCACGGTGGATCGGGATGACCAGCCTAAGTCGAAGCAGATCAGCATCCAACGCTCGAGCTCCCAAGCCATCCCAAGTTCGCGTGGGGCAAACATCCAAATGTCAATCTCAATTGGGGCGTGTCCCTGAGGTCTTGTTCACCACATACATCAAGGCCTCTTTCTTTGGGTCTTTGGCTTCACTGCTTTGACCAGCTCCCCGGTTCGTCATCCCATTGGTCGTGGTCCAAGGCTGCTGGCATTGTGGATCGCCGTCCGCCTGGGAAGTGGCGTCGACTTCTTCCGCCTGGCCGAGAAGTTGTCCAACACCGCATTGACGCCGGGCGTGGTGGGAGACTGACTCAGGTGCCGACCCAGGTCGTCTCAGTGGGCTCGCGGTTCGCTGCCTGGACGAACGTCGGGTTTTCACCGGTTTTTTCGGCTTCGGGCGCCGGAGAGGATGGAAGCTTAGCTGGTGAAAAGCGTGGTGCCATCTCTTAGACCAAAAGATGCTGGCCACGCAGAGTTCGTGACATTCCCCATTTTGGGGCCTTAGCCGGCCGGAGCCAAAGTATTGCAAAGTGGAGCCAAAGAAAAGCAGCGTTTGGGCCGCCCGTCCGTGAACCGAACAGAACTTCCGTGAACGTGAAGGATTTCGGACCGTTCACGTCGGTGATTCTTCTCCGGGGCTTTTCGTTGATCGGACGACCCGTCGACTCCTCGACCTCCCCGGCGAGCTGCGGGGCTTCCGACGTCCTCCAAGGAAGCCGTCGTGACTTGGCGTCCGATCGGCGGAGGGTGCTGTGGACTCAGCGCGGGCCTGGGCGAGGTGGTGGGAGAAAACTCGAAGTCCTGCGGTTTGGGGCCGGTCGAACTGGAAGGTGGGCACGATCGCATGCCAAGTCGACCCGATCGCTCGCTCCGCTCGGCCAGCGGAGGGGCACGATCGGAGACGACCCGGAGGGAACAGGTGGAACGAAACGGTCGAAACGTGCCCTGTTTCGCGGTGTGAAAGAACCGACAGGTTCCGAAGTTGTTCAGACCTGCTTGGTCTTTTCGGACCACCGAATCGGTGGTCATCCAACAGGGTCCTTTTTCCTTTGGCGTTGAAAACCGTGATACCACGTGCTTCGTTTTTTGGGGTCCGGGTATTTCGAGCCGATCCTCAGTGGGCGTTGCTAGCCCAGCCGGTGGCTCGCTCTCAGGTGGATGCCGAGCCGTCTCTTCTTCCGCCTCGTCTGCCCCTCCGTGCACCTGAGCGGTCGATGTGAAGCCGTTTGGGTGGGTGGGTGTCCAAGTGCAACTCACCAACTAAGAAAGCTCGTCTCCTGAAGTGCAACGCCCCAACTAAGAAAGCTCGTCTCCTGAATGAAACGCCCCAACCTGTCTTTAGTTGGTTCTCCTTCCGATTCTTCCAGAAATCGCTTCTTCATGGCTCTTGGAACCCATCTTGACGTCGTCAGTTGCTCAGTCCAGGACCAACCAGCCCTTTATGAGTGTGGCTTGAACATGCCTGAACAGTAAAATCACCCAAAAGACCTCCTCCTTGAGATCTGCTACATCAGATCCCTGATGAAACCAGGAGCTGCAGAAGGAAGGAAACAGCGAACTTCCGTGTTTCGAGGTATCGCTTGGCAGCCTATTCCAGCATCCCCCTCTTTTTCCTCAGCGCTTGGACGGAGCAGAAGTACTGTGCAGGTCGTCAGCTAGCCGCTTGGTTTCTACATCTGACAACTGCGGGGAAAATTCGACATGGCCAACTCTACAAACCGCTCGTCCTTGGGGGATATGTTTGCATGCATATTGTTTTTGTGTATATATATATAGTTCTTTTGTCTGTATTATCGCAAGACTAGAGCGGTAGACCTTCGTCTGGCCCCAGGCAATACAGCTTGTGAGCTTCAAAGACAAATCTAGGCTTTAAAGGCCAATACATCTTTTAAAACCAGGTCAACCATTTTCTTGATGGTCTTTGAAGGCTGGAGCTTGAGGACAAAATGTGCTCTTAGTTCATTTTGTGCTTGCTGGCATGGCATCTCGTCACAGGTCCGCTGCCTCACTGCCGTGTCCGTGACCCTCTTTCAGCTGGGTGACAGCTGTCGGACCAGCAGCCACAGGGACTACCTCATGCGTCCTGGCTGATCCGCGTTTGGGGACGTCAACGTCACCGGCTCCCCAAAATTCCATGTCACAATGTCACACGGGTGTCACTTTCTGTCACCGAAAACTCATGTGTTATCACCTCATCAAGGTGAATAGTCGCTGATCCGAAACCTGCATGTCCTTGACAACACACGTCTTCGAGGGTCGATGGTTGAGACCCCGAGGTCCCTGCCTCGAGGTCTCAACAAAGACCCACACCGGACTATGGCCGCCGGAGGGATCCCAACGGGCTTGGCCGCCGACGGCTCGTCAGGCTGTATATCTGTTGGGCTTGGGTTCTCGTCCCAGAGAAGGCCCAAGCCGTCGCATCTGGCCTTTGTGTGCTGTATATCTTGGGCCCCTCAGCTGCGTTTGGACGGTTCTGCCTCAGAAAGCCTAGTTTAGAGGCACTTTTTGGTGGAAAAACCCACATCCATGTGAGATCTGTAGAGGAACAGGTCTGGAAAACTCATTCTGGTCCAATTTGATGTCCTTCTTTTCCAGGTCTCCATGCTTTTTGCCGATTCTGTCATCACTTCCCAAGCTCCAGTGGTTTCAGAGTAGATGGCATTGGCACCCCAAGAGGTCCGCATCTGGGGGTCCATACAAACCACAGGGGTAACTTGTGCCATCTACTCCATCTACCCACTGTAAAGAATCTCTCAATCTCTCGCAGCTCCTCCCGCCTCCTTCCACGGGTCAGGTAGTGGCCTCTCGAAGCTCCGTGTGGGCGGCACTGCCTGGCCGGCGCCGGCCACGCTGCGGGCGATCCTGAGGACCTTCGCCCAGAAGACGCCACGGCAGGGCGGTCGCTTGGAAGTTGGAGTTGGAGAAAGACCTGAGGGATATTTAGATCATGACTTCTTTTTGATGTACAGGAGGTCATGATTCGTATCATGTCATATCATGCAATTATTCATATAGAATATTATAGAGATTGTTTGGTTTGGGATTGGTTTAAGGAACACTGAGAGTATGATATTTCTGTTCTGACAGGGGTGAAGATGAGTGCGGGAAGGGAACTAGGTTGAGCAGGAGTTGGATGGTTGAGCTGTGACTTGACTTGACCTTTGGGAAAGGCTGGATGATGACCAGTGGGGATTGCAACCATCCAGTGTGAAGTGTGCCACTTTACAGATTTTCGATGTACAGCAGACTACCAACATGTACCTGTCTGAATAGACAAGAGGTCATTGTTGGAGCGAAGGACATTTCGCAGATTTTATGCCAGGTTTTGTTGCCCTTAGCCTTCAAAGACCATTAAAGGAATGTAGAACAATGGTTCTTTGGTAAAGACCATTAAAACAATGGTTGTTGGAATTGCGGGGTAGCTCATTGGCCCTTTTCACCCCGTTCTTCATCCTATTTGTTCAAAATGAGGTCCCATCCTGCTGTTTGCGAACCGCTGGGTGTGCCACTCCGATCTGCTTTGTGACTTTCCTGGATGAGTCGATGGTGTTCAAAAGGTAGGAGACTGCTTGGATGAGAGTTTAACTGGTTTCTTTCGTTGGTGTTGGAACCCTGACAGATGAGATTGTTGTCTTATGTCACCGAACGAGTCATGGTTGACTGGATCACGGTCGAGGTGGAGGAGGAGAAACCGCAGAAGAGACGAAGAAGGATCTCGGAGCATTACCACTTCATGAGCAGAGTGCCACATTTTGCTCTAACTGGTCCATTATTCCCCGAGTTCATGCATAGCCTCCGCACCTCCTTTCTGCTACTCCTTGCTGCTACCATCTTGTGCAAATCGAATAGCCTTGTAGAATAGAAAGCCATTTGAACCTCGGATGTTTCGATGAGTTCGATGATCTTGAAGAACAAACAAGGCCACTTAGCTCTGGCCTCTGTTTGACCAGTTTTCCGGTCGGAAGTTGAGCCTAACAGCCCTTCGGACATGCTTCGACATCGGCAAGGGGCAGGTCGAAGAGGTCAGCTTAGATCCAAAAAAACTCCAAGATGGGCAGAGCCAAGAATTTTGGGTTTCGTTCGAACAATTCAACAGATAAGAACCCCAACATGTTCCGAACACTGTTCCTCCCAGACTGTTCCCTTCTGGAAGGTCCTCCCTTCCAGGTGGATTCTTGGCCTCCACGACCTTGCTCTTCGCACCTCGACCTCGTACCGTGCTTGCGGAAGACGGGAGCGGAAGCGGAGGTGTTCCCCTCGTTTAGGCCGTCGGAAGAATGCGGCGGCACGGCACCTCTCCAACAAACACATCACATACCAGCACCCTCCAGTCCAGGTCTTTCCTGGTGACCAGATCGGTGTGTGCCTTTTTCGGTTCACCACCGGTTCACCACCTGTGGGACCCGTGTGTATCAGGCCACAGCCGAACCGAACGGAGGGTCCTGGTAGGAAGTGGATGGCCTTCCCGGTTCGCCTTCGGGATGGCCCCCGGAGGGAAGCGCGCGGAGGGTCGGGTCCGCTGTGGAGGGTGGGTCCGGAGGGAAGCGCGGAGGCCAAACGGCGATGGAGCAAACCATCAGCCCCAGTGAACAAGATGAGAAGGATGAGAAAGGAAGGCTCTGAAAGAGTGGAGCCAGGTCAGGCCTACGTAGCTTCGCCAGGTGCCGGTCACGACTCTTCGTGCTTCAGAGTGCCTACTCTGCCAGCCGAGAGTCAGGTCTCAGCGGATGGGACTGAGCTCACACATCGAGCCACACCACCCCGAGCTCGGTGACTCCTGGAGATTTCGAGAGGTTTTATCAGAGTATCAGAAATAGAACTCTATAGGTTTTTGTAGAGGCAGGATGTTTTTAATCACGTCTCCAGGAGGTTTTTTGGAGGTTTTGATAAATCTTTCAGGATGTATCAGATTCCAAAGCATTCATTGGACCAGTTTTGATGATCAGTTCAACCCCCTAGATGAAAGAGTTGTTTCATTCCAAACGGGCACAACTTTAGGCGTCAGGCGGGGTCCCAAAAGCGGCCAAGTTCCAAGTTTCACCCGTTTCCACCAGTTTCCCCGCGGCTTCTCTCTCCCTCCCTCCCTCCCTCCCTCCCTCCCTCCCTCTAAAAGTTTCCGGATCCTCCAAATGCCGCGAACCCGTTCGGCTGAGGAATGCCTGTTGGCACCCTTGGGCGCCTTCCTTCTGCCCAGCCATTGGCGCTTGCCGAGCGTCGGCCTCGCCATGGTGCTGCTGCACCTGGGCATCGGAGCAGTACAGAGCGGTGCCATTGGCCGCCCGGCCGTCCGGTGCAGGGGGTCGTGGGTTGCGGGGTTTTTGTACGTGACGTGGCATTGGATTCAGGGTCTGGAAATGTTTGAAATGAGTGAATCTGAAGAAGGGTTCAGAAAAGGTTAGAAAGTCATGCGAGAGTCAAGATGGGTTGATCATATTGATGAGTTTGCCTGGGTTTGGTTTCTTTTTCCCTCAACAAACGCCCTCCCATCAACTTCGCTTCATCTTCTCGCCGTAGCCGTAGTGGGTCCCCTCCATGTCCCCTCCATGTTCGCCATGCGTGGGGGTTGGGCGTTCACAGTTTTTGGGGAAGACAGGTGCATTCTTCTTGCCCAACGTCGCAGCGTATGTCCTTGGCTTTGGGACGTTCACGTCTGGGGAGGACTGCGGGATGCTGAGCCGCAGGGTTAAAAGAAGAGGTGTGCGAAGAGGATCGAGAATCCTGGAAACGAGGAGCTTCGATCAATGTCTCACACATGCAGGAGCTTTCTACTGAAGGTGAATTGGACATTCTTTGATGCAGAAGCCCTTTCTAGTTCTAGTCTTGTTGCGTTGCCGGGATACTGGAGGCGATACCTACTTGCAGCTCCTCCTTTCTCCACCAAGCTTTGCCACACCCCTGGGGAACCCCGCTGAGGAGGCGGTGACGTTCTTCAGCCAGTGACGTTCTTCCGGGGGTCCTGTGCTTTTCACCAAGCAACTGGGGTCGGACGGTTCAAGCACGGAAAAGGCCATCAGGTGGATGTCACATTCGGATTTGGCAGGTGACTTTTTCCTTTTCAAGCTGATTTTGTAGGGAGGGTGTTTTGGTATGTAGGCACCCCAAAGGAAAACAACAATTGGCGACGGAATGAGGAATACCACTGAGTCGACCACCATTTCTCCACCATCCTTTCGGTCAAGAACAAGCCTCTGCACCGGCCAAATCGGTTTGATGCCAACCGGTTGCCCGAAGAAACCTGTACCCCAACGGCCCATTTAGCGGGCTTTTCTGCTCGAGCACCTGGCGGTGCGAGGACCTCTCCATCCTTGCACCCAGTTGGTGGATAGCCTTGGTGACCTGTGCCGGGGCAAAGATTTCGCTTCGAGCGACACGGGTGGGGTGCCTTTTTCGGTGCACTCGGATGGGGTTCAGACACGGGTGGGCCCCCAAAAAAACAACCGGGTTCATTGGATGTGAACGTCGATCAAGCAATCTTTGGGTCTTGGATCCAAATCCTGGGTGTCAGTCACTTTTGGGAATTTTCTTAGGGTTAACAACATCATTGGATTGCCTCGTTCCCTCTGTTGGGCCTCCTTTACCCAGAGAAGCAGCGTCATGAAGGAGGCGACCCCGTTTGGTCTTCGGCAGCTTTTGAGCTCTTGGCAGCTTCGGCGACCCAGATCAAGGTTCAGGCTCACCAGCTCAAGGTATTGGGCTTTCTACTAGCCCAATCACCTATGCATGGATGGATTCCATTTTCCAAAATCTTTGACTCCACACCTGTTCGGTTCTCCTTGCCATTCACCAGCCTTGCCAGAAGAGGTTTCCTTCCCCTGTGCCTGGCTGCAGCTCGCGAAACAAGTTTGATCCAAGAGGACTGGCCCTGGACGCCGTTTGTGCCTGGGTGAGGAAGGAGCGTACCCTTAGGGCTGGTGGGTACCCTTGAGACTGCCTAGATGACAAGTGAGATGCCCAACCCGGATTCCTTGGGGGGCCAACCTGTGTGGAGTGTTCAGGCACCAAATACGAACAAGGCGCTTTGAAGCTAAGAAGATGTGTAGCGAGATGTGTAGCCAAGACCACTTTGGACGTCACCTGGTCCTTTGGACGTCACTCCGGTCGTCATGGCTGAAAGTTGGGAACCTATCCGGCCAATTTCCGAATGACACAGTCCTGAAACAAGGAGCACGGTGCCCCCAAAAAGCAGTGGAAGAAGACTCCGCTGCAAGACCTCCCTAGCCTTCAGTTCAGAAATTAAAAAGAAGGGTTGATCTGGTTTTGAAGAAACTCCTTAGTAAAACAATGATTCTTGCTTGGGGATTCAGACCATTAAAACAGTTGTTGGCATCCCATCGACCTCACAATCCCACTAGCAGCTAGCAAGACCTCAGTTGGCTTCATCCCTGCGACTCGGTCCTCGTTTTCTTCCTCGTTTTCTTGCGAGGACGTGAATGGCGAACAGATCAATGAAGGGTGGATAGAGAAGCCTGAGAGTTTTGTGATGACTCATTGAAACCTCTATGGTCAGAAGAAAAGAACCAACCTCTATGATTAAAATGGCAAAACCTGTTTCTTTTTGGATTAGAGTTTGTGAAACCTCGCTAGTGGAAACTCCGACAACTCGTCAGGTCAAACGAGTCGAGTCTTGGAGTGGAAGTTGGAAGACACAACAAACATCCCCAAGGGTCGCGTACAAGCGAAGGACATACTGTTGAGGTTACTGGTACAGAAGTTCTTGGAACTCCGGTTTTGAGCCAAGGCACTTTTTCCTTGGAACTCCGATCAGTGGGAGTTCTTGCACCAGCATTTGGTGGAAGGTGATACTCGCCTAGACGCTTGGCAGATAGATGTATGTTGCTGGGCTTTCTAGTTTTTAAGTTGCTCGGCAGTAGGTCTCCCGTGCGGGTTCCTCACGTTTTCTCATGTTTTCTCACAATGACAGTTGCGGTTCAGCATGACAGAGGTAGACTCTCACCGTTGATCTGACGAACAGCTCCGGCACGACAAGGGTCCAAGGACAAGGCTTTTCAAGATTGCTGAGGGCCGTCCGATGCCAATCTCTCAGATCAAATGAGAAAAACACATTCACCATGAGGTTGGAGGCCATCGCTAGTAGGTTGGAGGCCATGGCTATAGAAAGGTCACTTCGGACCCGTTGCTGGGATCAACTTGGATGTCGCCGAACACCCACGCCGAACGTCGCGCGCATCGTGCAGAGCCGCAAGGGAGGACCGAAGAACTGAAGCTTTCAGCTTTCGGCACCCGATGCGCCCAGCGATTTCATCCGAAGCCCCAAACGCACCTGGGTTTTCCGAGTCTTTTCATGCTTCGTTGAGTGGAAGGCACACGTTCTTGCTTTCGGCCGAAGGTGGCCCTGGCTGGCGAAGCCTCGCTACCGGGTGCGCGGGTGATCCCCATCGAACACCGCTCCGACGTGCCACTGCTGCAGCGGCGGGTGGAGCCCAACGAAGGCGAAGTGGTGTGCTATGATCTCTGGAGACTCGATTTGGTTTGGATTTTATCGCGGCAGATGGCATTCCCTGCTGTTGCTTAAGGTTATCTTTTTTCCCTATATACTATATAGCCTATAGGTAAATCCCCCCAAAAGGGGCTCTTTTTGGGACATGTTTTGTGTTTGAAGGCTCCTTAAGCAATGCCAAGCATCTAGGCTTCCCCCCCGGCACGCTTTCCAGCGTGCCCGAACTTCCGATGGGGGGCATGGCAAGGGCCATTGGTTGAAGGAACACGTTGGTCGCTTTCCATGCTTGAGACCGGAATGCAGCGAAGCAACTGGACCAAGCGCATTCTCTGAAATGGTAAATGTGATGTCTCCACCACCACCACCACCACCGCCACCACCACCAGCACCAGCATCAGCATCAGCTCCAGCACCAGCTGCTGACACCTTATCTCTTGTAGTTCAGATACTTTCTTCTTCTGACAGCTCTTTGGACTCAGGAGCCGTACCATTGGCATCACCACTTACCAAGATGCTGGGACGGATCAGGTGTGTGGATTGGTTGTATCTCTCAGGATCCATGCGATCGTGACCATGTAAGCAGCTTTCGAAGGAAGTGGTTTGCCGCTTTGCCTCCGATTCATTCATGAGGCCGCAGAAATTATATGGAGGCTTTCAACATCAACACTTCTTCAGCACCATGCTGCTTTCTTCACCTCGGGGGGGGGCCCTTGGAAGTTCGATTTTGCATTCCCAGGGGACGGCGAATTCGCGCGCGCGCAGCTGAGGATGAAGTAATGTTGGCCCTTCTGGATCTTCACCAGGGTGAGCTGCTGAAAGCTGAGACTCTTAGCAGACTTGGTGGAACTGCTTGCGTTAGAGATGATGGGGAATTTGGAGAAGACATCTCACTGGGAGTTTTAAACTGGTTTGGACCTCGTAAAAAGCGATGAAAACAGGTTCCATGTTGTCATGCTTCCTTTTACTGAACTTTCTGGTTCAAGGTGCTGCACCAGGGTTTGTTGGGGCTAACGTCGTTTGGATCGATCGGAGGGTAGTCGGATAATTACGTGATGTGATCGCACTAATTTGCCGGAGTCTTTTTTTCTGGAGGTTGTGACGAAGACCAAAGTTACTTGATTCCAAGACGTGGCTGAACAGCTGGCCCCGAAATCAAGGTTGAATGGCAAGATGTGTTTTCCTCGATGAATTAGTCATTGCAGCAGGACCTCTGAAGTTTCTAGCATGCACAGCCAGTCCCCCTTGAGGAAGAGTCAAGAGAAGCTGAAGCAGATACTTCAACTCACCGCCAAGTTCCTGGGCCGAAACCGAGAAGGCGCGCGAAGAAGATCATTCGCACCGAAGACAGGTCGGGAGGTCCGATGGTCGAGAAGCGAAGCAAAGCCAACGGCAGTTCTTTCGCCAGGCACTTCGCGACTCTGGCGACTGGCCTTGTGTACGCGACTCTGCGCGAACACATTCGGCTTGTGCTGTTCATAGCACCGACGGCCAACAGGTCACCAATTGAAACCCACAACAGGGCCTTTCCCAACCCTCCAGCCATCGGAGACCTGTTGGGGTTCGATGGTCTATGACACCACACCGGCTTGGTCGTCTGCTTTGCAGACCGGGACATCCAGTCCGTGCGGTGGGTTTCGCCTGCTTCGGATCCACGAGGGCGAATCCTTGGAACGAATCCACCCGTGGGGCGAACCCGAAGAGCCCAGCTGTTTGAAGAAGCATCCCGAAGAACACCGAGCTGTAACGGATTTTTCGACAGGTCACCTCAGGTCAATGATTTTTCACTCTTGGAAGTCTACCAGGACCTTTTTGGCGGGGTGCCCTGTCTGGAAGCCGAACGTGCGGTAGTGTGGGGTAGTCCAGCCAGGACACCCCGACAGGAGGGTCCAGGTAGGGTACAGGCATTGTGGTTCTTTTTCCGCAAGTTGGACCCCTTCGGTGGTCAGTCCTCGTTTCGTCAGAACGATGTCACGTCGGTGCTGGTCCTGCAGGTTTTTTCCAGTTCTTTCAAGCAGCTTCTCATTGGCTCCGGTGGGTCGTTTCCAGCCCAAGCGGACCGATGGACTGCTCGCCTCTCGCCTGCTCCCGTCTTCTCCAAGAGAGTGCTTGACGGGTAGCAGAACTGAAGCTGAAAGGTCCGGGAGTCTCCCCATGTGCACACAGAACTTGGGTTTCTTGAGTTTCTTGGGTGCGCTTGCGCAGAAGTGGAGTGTTTCGGTCAAGGCTTGCATGCCGTGTGGTCTTGGATCGGCTTCATGACTCAGCTGCCTTCACGAGACATCTGGATGTGTATGAGACATCTGGGAGACCTCCAATAGACCAAAGCCCACTGGTTAGGGGGTCTCCCCTGAAGCCTACGGGCCCATGACCAAACCTCTCTCCATTCAGACTACGAAGCAACCACGTTCTTCTCATTTTCATGCATTTTTCGTCGCCGGGCGGTTGTGATTTTGGGAGTTCACCGATTCACAAAGTATGACCCAGCAGGTTAGGAGTTTCAAAGGGGTACCTATTAGAGGATAAGGGTGCCCAGAACATCCACATACATCCACTCTGGATGGGACTCAACGCCATTCCTTCAGTACCAGGACCTTCCAAGTCCGGTGGTTTTTGGACACCCCTTAACCACTAAGAGGCTATTTATAGACACCTCGAACGGTGTCGGTCCTGGTATGGAGCTCATGGCGGTGTCTTTTCACAGGATGTCTTGTCGGATCTCGCCTTTCCGTCGTCGGATCGAAGGGGATCTTTCTCGCCTTTTCCGGGGTCCGAACGTGCATTGGATGCGCGCTCGGACTCCGATCCGGACTGCTTCGCGGGAAGGAGGCGTGGGATATTTTTCGCATCTTTTTACAAAATTAAAGCAAAGTACATGTGTTTTGTGGCTCTTGGCTCTGCCTTACCGTACCGCTGGGTTGCCGAATCGGTGTCTGCATTGAACGGAGAACGGAGGCATCTTTGAAGCAGTTGAGGCATCAGCCAACTGGCATCAGCCATCAGCCAACTGGGTCGCTGCCTCGCAGGGTCTGCAGGTCTGCACCCACGATGTGGGATCGGTGCTGTTCAAAACCTGGGATTGGTCTTGTCCCAACATTGCCCTAGCTTGATGACCTCAAGCAACGCCAACGACGTTTTCTGTGGTGTTGGTCTTGGTGAATGGCAAAGTGTGTGTGATCAACTCTATGGATCCGAACTGCAGGCTTCAGTGGAGATCCCATTCACTCGTAGAAGTGGGCCGTTGTTGAACTCAAGCACCCCTTGTTGCGATGGGCCACTTATTTCTAGGGCCACGATGACTCTGGCTTCCTGAGAATCAAAGGACGTTATTGAGATCCCCCAGATTGAAATCCTTGGATGGCCTTGATCCTTTCTTGGTGAGGTTTCTGGAGACCGGGCGCGTGCTGGAAGTCTCCACTGGACAACCGCTGATGCGCTGCTTCCTCGTGCGTGTGACCCGCGGTCTGAGGGTACAGGAAGTGCTCATGGAGGGCTGCGGCTGAAGCTGTGCCGTTGATCTCATCGCCCTCGTGCGCGCGGGGTCCCGATGCGCCAGGCTGCCGAAGACAAAGGCGATCGCCAGGGTCGGTCGGTCTTTCGAGAAGTGTGCCGTGTAGGTATGCCATGCGTGTCCACATTGGTGCCATTCTTTTAAGGCTATTATTTTTACACATGGCTTACTTGTATTCCAACCCTAGTGCTTCAACCAGAGATCCTGAGGTGTGTAAATCAGTACTCCTTTCTTCTCAAGGCACATTCAAGTGGATCTGTGATTTGCGTGCGAACCTTTCTAATGAGAAGACACCACACTCCTGTGAAGATTTGTCATTGTTTCAACTTGTTGCGCCCTGCATCGACATTGAGGTACATACAACAGACATTTGCCATGTATGCAACATGTTTGCTTTCTCCTTGGTGTTACACCTTTAATCCAAGGAGAAACTTGTAGGTTGGAGGCCACAGCTACAGCTATTAGGTGGGAGGCCATTGCCCCTTAGGGTGGAGGCCATCGCAAATGGTACATTGGAAGGTAGAAACACATAGGTGAACTCATGTTTTCCATTCGCTATTAGAAAATCCATCATGAATAAAGAAAAATAATCCTATGACCACTTAAAATAAGTGGAACGAATCTTCAATTTATTAATGATTCGTGGTCATAGGCTAATGTAATAATATTATATATTTTGGGGGAATGCCATAAATTAATTCATACTTTTCTTTTTATTTCATGGCATTCCCATGAGCATAAGATATTTAAAGAACTAGCCGATGACCGGCATTCTATTATAAAAGAAAGAATGCCTCATGAGAAGTAGACCAAGAAAATAAGTAATCTCTGCCACCATGAAATTATATAGAAATATCTTAAGAAATTTCATGGTGGATCTTATTTCCTTCTCTTTTTCCTCTCTTGGAATCCATCCCTTTATATAAGTGATCGATAGGCGGGATGGATTCCTGGTCACATCTGGGCCCCTTCACCGCTGTCATTCACCTTCCACGGCTTGGAATCCTCTCGGCTTTTTACGCTGCTCCCAAGCGATGAAGGTGTTGAAGAGGGACTTGGCGTGACGAGTGTTCCTCGGAACGCTGGAGCCACCAGGACGGCTTGCTCCGCTGGACGACCGCGTCGACCAGTCTGTGCCGACCAGTCCGTGACGACGACACCGGCACGATGACGTCCGGTGGCCTGGCTGGACGTCCCTTTCTCTAGAAAACTTTGAAGTGTTTGTTTTTTTCCTTTATATTGTTGGGAAGGAATGGATTAGATGAGACGAACGAACCGTGCCAAGTGTCACCCACTTGCTTCAGGAGAGGCTGCACATCTCTTCCTTCCAACCTGAGGCTGTACATCTTCTTGCTCCTTCAGCGCCCGCGCCATCCGCCCGGTGCAAAGCTGGATCGAAGTGCCAGGTGATACGCCCTGGTTCCGAGACCCACAAGGAACCTGAGAAACCACTGGGTGGTAGAGGACAACCAGGTCCATTTTCAGGTGGTTTTTGGCCACCAAAGGTGGTGGTGAACCTCACCTGACCTCTTGTCATCAGGCAGCACCTCGGAGGCTCCAAGTCTAGGTGTCTCACTGTATCACCTGGCGCCGTCAGCTTGCCAATGCCTTTGTGGCGTGAAGAAAACGCAATGGATGACAAACCGGTGGCTGGTGGCTGTTTTCAGAGTACGCACGTATGCTGGGTCGAAGTGGATGGGAAGCCAACATCCGTCCCGGTCCAGGTTTTCATTTGCTTTTCCCATCCACTTTCCTTTTGGTGCACGAATGTTTTTTTTTTTTGTTTTGCGGCGCGAAAACGGAGCCGAACCGGTTCCAGTGGTGAAGAAGGTCGTGAACTGGTGGTGCCACAGAAGGTGGCGGACCCCCTAGGAGACCAGTGGCGACAATGGCCTCCTCAGTGTCCATGTGATATAGTCTGTTCGTCTTCAAGGGGGAATTTGAAGGGGTGCCACAAAAGTCTTCTTCACTTCTTCCCATCCGCTTCGCTCCCAAACCAAGGGACAAGGGACCCACGTACGTTGCTCCCGGTTCCATCGAATGATTTCGAGCCGAATTCTTTCTCCCCGATGGTTCGAGAACTCGCTTGGCTCGAAGAAGAAAGCGATTTTCCACCTGACTGCAGTCAGTGGATCATCTTTGCCCTAGAAGTCGAGGCCCACCATGGTTTTAGTAGCCTGAATCCCGAACCATCATTGTTTTACTAAGGGTTTTACATAGTTTTACACTAAGAAACCAGAGCAACCATTTGAAAAATGGTCGACTTGACTTCCAGGGCTTTAACCATCTTTGACCATTTTGGGGGAAAACCCCATTTCCCGGCTGTAAAAGGTCAACCGGCTCGGAAGAAACCGACAGGTCCAGTAGGTGTTTGTTGCATCTTACAAGCTTCGCTTCCCGGCCTGGCCTCGCGACTTGTTGCGCGGAAGCGCAACTGGACGCACCCTCGAACGAAGCTACGTCTAGTTCGTGAACAACGAAAGCAACACTTCACCCGGATCAACGGACCCAGGACCCACTGTCGGGGTGGTGAATGGACACCCCGAATCACATCTAAGGGGCTATCGATAGAAGCCCCTTTTTCGGTGTCCTGGTTCAGTTTTCGTTTCTCAAGAGGCGGAACGAGTGCCCCACCTGCCCAACGGACCTTTTAGCGTTCGTTTAAACCGCTGCCACTGGTGCGGTGGGAGCGGTGATCACGCGGGTCCGGTGATCACCTCGACACGGAGCTATGCATAGACACCCCGAAACAGGGTCGGGTCCTGGTATACCCGGTCGTTTTGGGCTTCTTCGTTTCCCCAAGAAAGGGTCCATGGCTCCCACTTTTCCGAAGGCTCCGCCGTGGGGTCCGATGTGCCCAAGAAGCGACCGAGCCGCAGCAAGGGGCCCTGGCTCACTGTCCACAGGCCGCTACGTCAAGGGCTGGCGCAAGTGGTCGGATCGCCGACAGAGCTGGGTGGCCATTTTTGAGTTTGAGGCGCCCAGTGCAACGGGCTTGGTGAGGGAGGATGAGAGGATGTTGGGATTCGATGATCTGAAGCAATTCTGCATTCTGACCCTGAAGAGAGATCATCAAACAAACTAAATCCATTGGAGGTCCCCCTATTATACAATACAAACCCAGATAATTTGACATAGCATCTCCGCATCCGTCTTCGCAGTCAATCTCGTCAATGCCAAAAGCTTCAAGAAAACCTCAGTGAGTAGTTTTTAGTTTGACTTGTTTTTGTATGATCAAATCCAGTAAAATGAGGTCCTTCACTGACCTGTAGGGCCAACGGTTTCCTGGGTTCATCGAGAACATCGGGCTGTGTTGCTCGTGTGGCCAGCACCCCTTTTAGAACCTGAGTGACCTCTAGTTTGGATCACTCACCACCCCGACATATGGCCTCAAGTCCATCCAAATCCTATCAACACGGGGGTCATGTCTGGGTTTGAGGCAGAACGACATGAGCTCGTTTTGGGGAGAGTAGCACATCTATGCTTCTTTACCCAGGGACGTGTGTGGGAGCCCGTCCCCAAATCACCATTATTGGGAGAACTGAGAACCTCCACCCCACCGTGACTCCACTCTTCAGGTGGATAGTGAAGTGAAGAAGAACACCGAAGTACCATCTTTATGAACCCATTTCGGAGCTTTCCCATCCGTTTTTCCACACGTTCGGGCCGCTGGTCTTGGATCGTTCGAGAACCAGGGCCGCATCTGGCGGAAGAACGTGCCGGGGGCCCTGGAAAAACAGCACCGCGCCTTCTGGGTGAGCTGGGGCCGCCGCCGTCCCGGTCTGGGGCGTTCTCGAGGCCATCAGCCGGGAAGCGTATGGAAGTGAGCAAACATGATACTTATACGGTATACGTGATCTTACATGCAACCAGGGAAAGCAATGAGGGACACCTAGCAGCGGTCACCCAAAGGATGGTTTCTAGACCCCCCTGATGATGGATTTGTCCATCCAATATCATCCAGTCACCGAACTGGATGTTGCTGGTAGCAGAAGGTGGTTTTTCAGACCGCATCGCCTGCGGAAGCCGCTTCACGCACCTCGCGGACGCGCCAGCAGCGCCAGCAGCGACGTCGCTGAAGAGCGGAAAAGGTGACTCCAAGAGATCCATCGAATCTGAATCTTCAAGTTGCTCCGGGCAAGAGACGTGGAGACCTCTTATGAAAGACAGGTCAGGACAGGTCAGTTGGTCAAACATGATGACCACCAGGAGTTCAGGGGCCCAGGGGTGGTGTTTGGCCGCACCCTCAGCCTCCAAGGATACCCCAGAAGGGCAATGAGACTTAGACCAAAGACCTAGTCCGAAGGTCTTGACAGGCGACCTTAGCAGGTCAAAGCCTCTGTAACAGAGGTTTGTACCCGAACCCCTTCGGGTTGCACCAAAGCTGCTCCAAAGCGCTTGATCCCCGGCGACGATCCGCTCACGACCCTCGTGCGTGGCGACCTTCGCGATGTGCGCGACGGACGTCGTTGCTCAGGACGGAGGAGAAGGCCCCACGTCGGGGGGCCCAGAGCTGAACGCGTCCTGTAAGTGGCGCTGGCCCCTTTTAACCGCAGAGAACCTGGGGCGTGTCCACCCCTGATTCCACATTCCAACGGAGACGAGATCCCCCCCCTGGGCTTAGGCATCCCGAAGCACCGAGCTGTTTTAATAAGATGTTACACCATTAAAACCAGGTCACCAAGAGTCACAAAAGGATGCTTCTTAGTCCCATCCAGTGAGTGGATGTGACAGGGGCACCCCTATCCTCCATGGATGGCACCCCTTTCTGGCTGCCTCTTCCTGCAAAGAGCTCGAGAGTGAACTCGGAACCCGAAAGTCGCAACTGGTCTATTTTCTTTCGTCGGAGTCGTTGCCTGCACATCAGGTGTCCTAGGTGGTATACCCACACTCACATGGGGATGGAGGGTTTTACTGATTTCAAGAGCCCACATGGGATGGGGGGCCCTGGTAGAATCTCCTTTCACTCAGGTACCGCCGTGCATGTGGATCCCTTGCTGATCGAGTATCAGGCGAGGCAGAAAGCTTTGGCAAAGAACTGGCGAGTCCGAAGTCCAGTGAAAGATCATCTTTGGCACCGAAGTCAAGGACATGCCTGGATCAGACCTGGCACCTTTTGGTAAAAAGTAGACTTAGAGGGTAGGTGCAGAAGGAGTCACCTGCAGAGTGGCAGCCGCTCTTCTTGGAGTCGGGTGCCCTTCCGGTCGAAAAGCGATGCAACATCCTGAGCTCCTGGGCTTCCATCCACGAATCAGGGTAACTTGAGAACATGTTTTATATCCAATGTTGGCTCCAGTTCCGAACAAACAGGGGGGTGCCCGAACGTCACATCCACATCCACTGACTGAGAATGACACTGAACACCCAGTCCTTTGCAACTGCTAGCTGCATCTAGCTGCTAATGTGAGATTCTTTTCAACCAGCTCCTTTGTCCCCCCAAAACCCGACCGCCGCGCCGCCAACGCCCGCCCGTCTCCGCCCTCAGGCTGCGCCCATTTGCTGCCGAAAGCCCTCAGGCCGTCCGGAGGGTCGCGCACGCGGACGCACGCGGAGGTCGTCCGTCTCGAGTTGTCGCGTCCGATCGCTCGCTTTGTTCGTAAGGCCAGGGTCGCCCCGGGTCGCCGTTGGCTGGGAGGGTGACGGCTGTGAGGGTTGAAACGTCACACTGGAAGGTGCTGGCTTTTTCGAGCTCGGTCCAAGACGGATTCCGCCCGATCGGATCGTGTTGGCTGCCCAAAGCTTGGGGACCTGGTGGCCTTCACTCAGTCTTTGAGTCTTCTTTGTCGTCAGAATGTCTACGCCCATTTTCCACGTGGCTTATCCCAAAGTCCTCAGTTCCTGAGGCATCACAGATGTGATCTGCCTGGTAGTGCCCATGGAATGACACATTGCGTGCCGATTGGCAGCGTAGTACTTCGGTGGGTTTGGCTTCCAAACGAGCTGGCGCCGTGACCTCGGCCGACGCGGGCTTACAAAATTGGCGCTGCAAGCCTTAAACAGCTGGAGGAACCTTATAAAAGCGCTGGCCAAACACGATGGACTCAAAGCGCTGATCCACTCCGACCACCCCAAGCTTCCGAGAAACATGGGAAGGATGGACGGCTGATAGGCTGGAAGGAGCTTCCGAGACTCCAAGAGACCTGATGAAGAAGATAATCCTCTAAAAATGCGTTGCATCTCATGTTGTGGCAGTTTTCCTTGGACCGATCCTTATGGATGGGTAGCTCTCATAAATGCTTCCGAACGGTAGCGGTGTTTTGTTGGCGCCCAATCCTTTCGCTTTGGAAGGTTCAGATCAGACCCCATTTTTTCCGAGTCGGATGGCACAAAAACCATGGGGCGAAGGCGGCTAAGACGCCGGACATGGCGATTCTTTGTCCAGTGACGCCGTTGACATGGGCCCTCGGTCGAACGGAAGATCTGTTTGGGGGGTGACACCGGTGACGCCTCAAGCCCCGCCAAAAGTCACACACCATGTGGGTTTGAGAGTCTGAGTGTGTCTCAGGATTTTTGGGGACACTGGGTTCACGCCAGGGCGGAGTCCCAAAAGCTTTGGAGTCCCACATTCTTCCCTAGAAGTCGAAGCACCCTTGATTTCATGACGCCAGGTCGAAGAACCGTCTCTTTGACCAAGGGGATTGTGGACTTCGGTCTTTGGTCTACGTATCTTTGTACTTGGTCTACCACATAGTACGACCCAGTAGGTCTAGACTGGATCGTGTCGAAATGAAGGAGAACGGGGCCGAACGGGTCGACAGGGACACCCCCCCCCCCCCCCCCCCCCCCGCAGCCTCTCCGTGGCGGTCTCGGCTCTGTAACTCGGTCCGCCAGGCTGCAGTGATTCTGAAAGTGAAGCAGATGCCAATGCAGGTCTGGAGATGCTCATAGGTTGGAGGGCCATTACTACTATACTAACCAGAAGGCGACGGACATCGTCACGGCATCGCGCCGAAGCCTTCGCGCGCCTTCGGGGCGCGAACCCGAACCGGGGGCGCTTCCGGAGCACGACGCGACGGAGCCACGAACTCGTTCGGTTGGGGACCGGTTGGGCACCGTCACGGAGCGACGCTGGCAACGGTCCTGTTCGGTCATGGCGACCGATGAGATCAAGGGGCGACCGACGATTCATGTCTCGGTCCTGTTTTTATGAATCACCCAGTTTCTCCAAACAGCTCCTGGTCCCTCAAAACCCTACAGATTTGAGGGTCCGGCCCCCACTTAGGAGGGTCCGGCCCCTACTTAGGAGGGTCCAGGAGCGTCTGGGCACATTACAATCTTCTAAACTACCACAAGGTTTGTGGCCGTTTCTTCCAGGAGTGTATGATCCTAATTCTTTTTTCCAGGCCTTCTACATAGGCTTGGGCCTACAAAGCCACAACTTTTGCTTCAACCCCAAGCTTAGAACCTCAGAGATTTTGTCAGCTATCTCAGTGATCTTCAAGTTTGCACTCAACAAAGAGATGCACGGCTTTAAACCCAGAGAAACCAGGCAAAAACAAGGTCAAGCAAAGGCGAACCAACACAGGTGAACACTCGGCATAGTAGTTCTCCAGTTGCTTCATGCTGATTCAACCTCAAGTCTCAATGTCCAAGACCGCACGCCTTGGTTTCATGAAGATCTCCATAGCTCGCAAGATGATAGAACCGTGATTGCACCGGCTTGGTCAAACGTAGCGTCCGGACATGTCCGGACTATGACGGACCTTTGGATCCCTTTGGCCTGTAGCTCGCCTGGACCTTTCAGAGCTGCCAACCTCGACGTGCCGGAAAGCTCGGCTTCGACTCCGTGAGGCTTGCAGCCAGGGGACGAAGAAGAGGACACGGCACTGACGGGCGAAACTCTCCACGACGTGACCGTGCGAAACCGTCCCGCCCGCATTCGGCATCCGTTCGATTCAAAGAATGGGAACGACCTGGTTTTGTATGGTTTTGTAGTATAAAATCCTGATTCAAACAGCTCGGTGGTTCGGGATTCAGCCTATTAAATTGATGGCATGTGTTTTTCGTCCGGTTTGTTTTTGATGCGAAAACCCGGGCAAGGACCAATGGATGAAACACAAGGGGGGAATGAAGGGGCACGAGGGGGCAGTGGATGAAACACAAGGGGGGGAATGAAGGAGGCCCTTCATTTTCCCTTGTGTTTCATGCACTGCCTCCCTTATGCCCTCCATCCCCCCTTGTGTTTCGTGCATTGCCGGTAAGAGAGGGCAATGGATGAAACACAAAAAAAATGCAGGGCACGACGGGCAATGGATGAAACACAAGGATGGAATGAAGGGGGCAGGACGGGGCAATGGATGAAGCCAGATGACACAAGGGGGGAATGAAGGGGGCACGAGGGGGCTGGGGGTACGAGGGGGCAATGGATGAAACACAAGGGGGCAATGGATGACACACAAGGGGGGAATGAAGGGGGCAATGGATGAAAGACAAGCGGGGAATGAAGGGGGCAGGAGGGGGCAATGGATGCAACCAAGGGGACAATGAAGGGGGCACAAGGCGGGAAATGAAGGGGCACGAGGTGGCAACGGGTGAAAAACAAAGGGGAATCACGAGGGGGGGAATGAAGGTAACATCTGGTTCAGTGACCTGTTGGTGTCACTTGTTGGAGCGACATCAGTGTGTTTTGTTTTTGAAGTCCTTCTGATTCCCTGGTTCCTCCAAAATTTCAGCAAAAGCTTCGGCTGGCCAACGTCGGGATTCGCGAGATGAGTCGTTTTCATCCCGGAGCCCCCCAGCTGCGCGTCCCTCCTCCCGGTCGCCAGTGGCGCACGCGCCGTCGCCAGGACAACACCTTCGTGATGGCTCGGGCGCGGGGGGTGGTCCGTCGGGAACTGGAGTGGGCACCGGTGGAGAGAGCGAGAGAGAGAGAGAGAGAGCATGAGACGGAGGATTTTTGTTCCGAAAGACCAAGGACTCAAAGGACTCAAAGGACTTCAGTTCCACGCCTGGCGCGGAACGATCATCTGTTCTTTGGTTGATCGTTGATATATTCGCCGCGTAAGACAAACACATTATGGTGGTATGGTTGTGCTTCTTTTGAGGAAGGTTCTTCAACAGCTTCGTTCATCTGGCTTCTGGCCGTTTTCACCGAGACTGGACCAGCTTTGTGGATCCGAATTGGGAGCTCGACTGGAGCGTTAGAGGCTGTGTGGGTCCTTTGCCTTCTGACGTCAGAGGGTGCAGGAGGCTAGCGCATATCATAATCTTAAATTAGAGTCATCCTGGAGTAGATAATCCAAGACACAATAGGAAACTGGTCCTGTTCTTGGATTGGTTCAAATTCTATCTACTCCAAAGATGGTTATATGCTATGTATGTACACATATATATATATATATGTGGTTGATGTTTCAGTAGAGATCTGCATGTAAAAGAATGTAAAGAAAAGTCAGGCTAACATTGTTCGGCGGGGCATTTTGAGACAACTGCGGAGAGTTCGTATTGTTATTCCTTTTTCTCTCAATGGCAACGGTTCGCCTACCGAGCACTTGCCGGGTTGATTTCTGTATCTAAAGTAAAATAACACACGCTTGTGAGTGTCTGATGCAGAGATGTCAGTCATCAGGGTGTGATCACCAAGTTGCTTGAATATGTCTTCATACCTCTAGAAATCCAGTTCGACGATGTTCGGCAACACCGAAGTGAAGGGGAAATTCCTCGACGATGTTCATCACCTCAAGACCTTGAACATTGGTCGACTGGACTCCCAAACCCTTGGATGTGTCAATCCTTTTCGCAAAGCAAAACTCTGGGGTTCACGGTCAATCATCTTCATCTCCCAAGGTCCATGCGACTGTGACTTGCCAGGAGTTGAAGTACCACCTCCAGCTGACCTCTGAGATTGTTGGGATGGCCAGGCAGACCTGTCGGCACGGCCGGTTCTCTTGAACCTCTTTGGGGGCGAACTCGCCGCTGTCGGACCGTCGCCCGTAGCTTCGGTCCGTAGCCTCGGACTCTCCGTAGCGATGCCAGGAGCCCCGTTCGTAGCGTCCTTCTCGCTCCGTTCGTAGCGAGGCCCTTTGCTTCTATAGTAGCTTCTTGCCCAACAGTAATGCACTTGCCCAACAAACCGAAGGAAACGCCGCTGGTGTCGTTCTCGCTTTCGGCTTTGGAGCCCGCCGCGCCGACGGTGCCGCGCGGTCCAGGCAGACGGATCTGTGCCGCTGCGACCGCGTGATCGGCAGGCCCGGTACCAGACGTCCGTCTCCGGAGCGGTGAAGAGGGGAAGATCCGGTCGGTGTGTTCAAAAGCCATGACGGGTACAGTCGAGGTGTTTCCTGACACACACCGTGTGCCCAGGCCGGGTACAGTGCTGTTTGCCCGATCGTGCGACTGTTCCGGCCGACCCTGACAGGGTCAATGACATGTTCGCCTAGGTCGGAGGGTCCAAGTTGACTCCGCCTGCTTCTCCGTCTCCCCGTCCCGTTGCGGCGCTTCCCCGGTCCCCACCGCGCCCCCGGCAGCGCCCAGGCCGTGGGCCCAGGGCGAGGAAGGCCGCGTGCACGTGCTCCGCCCAGGTGGGACTTCGGCGAAGCCTCGGTGGACTCCATGGGGCGACTGTGCACCGAGGCCGGTTCGGGTGCTTCGGGGCAGTTGAGGGGGGGGGGTTGAAGCACTTTCGGAGGAGACGGCAGGAGCGGAAAAAAGGCCCGTTCTTCCCGAATTGGGTTTCGGAGCACCCGGCCCAGTACTTAGGGATCTCCAGCCAGGACACCCAGAACGTTCAGGGTGTTCTTGGTCCAGGGAGGAGACCCTGGGGGGGAAGAGCTGTGTGCGTTGGCAGTGTTGGGAGGAGATGTCTACTGACTACTGTGTTGGATGACTGTTCGGCCGTATGAGAACTGGTGAAGACACCTTTGAGCGAAGCTCTTTCATCCCTCAAGCAGGTGCTCTGTTCCTGGACCCTCCAAGAGGTGTTTCCTGGTCACAAGGGTGCAAAAACCACCTGTTGGAAGGTCCTGAGTTACTAGGGGTCTATCAAGCCAGCCCGGCGCCACACTTTTGGCACTACTTCGAGCTTTCGCCCTTAAAGGGCTCTTCGGGAAGGAACTTGTGCCATCAAACTGCGGCCATTGCGGTGCAAACATGTGACTTGACATCACATGAAGCACCCGTTTCACACTGCCAAGGAAAAAATTTTTGGGTCCCACCTCATCCAAACCCTGTACCATCAAAATTCTTCCAAATTCCTCTGTACCTCAGTCTAAACAAACTCTTGCGCACAGCCCAACAGGGCCTTACAGCGCAATCTGGAACTACCCGCTGCAGCAATGGCAAATGTCGCTGCAACTGGCCTTTGAACCATTTGAGGTTGATGTCTTTGTTGTAAGGCACTTTGAGAAAAACACTGCCACTTTTTCTGGTAGCTTCAGATCTCATTCGCAAGGAAACCTTTGCACGCAAACACTCGAAAGTTTTCAGGCTAAATCCTCTGTCCTTGAGTCTGCCTTTGAAAACCTCAATGTGTTGAGCAGCGTCTTTCAGGCTCTTGTTTCTTCTGAAGCATCGAACAATCCCACCAACCTGCAAAGAAATGAAACAGCTTGGGGGATGGTTACTGGCAGCTGGAACGTACAGGTAGAGGTTCTTCGGCTTAGAAAACATTGACCAGTGTATTGTTCGATTCATCTCGACGTTCAGAGACACATCCAGAAAATTAACCTCGTGACTTCCCGACAAGTCAAAACTGAGAGAGGTATGCCAGGAATTTGCTAGAGACAAGATGTTGGTCTCAGCCGTCGCGCAAATCAGCAGCAAATCATCAATGTACCTCACTACTAGCTGTAAGTCACTGCCTAAGGAACATTGCAGGAAACTGTCAAAATGAGAAAGGTACAGATTCGCAAGCACGCCTGCCACCGACAAGCCAGTCGGAATACCCTCTTCAGCTTTGTAAAGTACACCCTCAAACTCTACAAAGACAACAGAGAGCACCATTGCCAGAACTTCAATGACAAACGTCGCCAACTGCTGACATGCAAACTTGGAACGAATAAGCGGAACAACCAGAGATAGCATATGGCTTCTGCAAATGCTTGGATACAAATTGACCACATCCAAGGTAATCAAATGCATGCCTTCTCTGCATTGTAGCTGGTCAAGCTTCTTCAGCAATTCGTCTGTGGACAAAATCACTGTGGGAATATGCTTTTGCAACGGGGCCAATTGCTCAACAAGAAAAACAGCGAAAGGAGTGAACCAGGTCTGTCTCAAATTGCAAACTGGGCGTGAACCTATTGGCTCTTTGTGCACTTTCACTAAAATCCGGAAAGTACCCGCCGCATCACGAAAAAACCGATGAAGCAAAAACCGCCGCAAATCAGCAGAAATCACTTGAAAACTGAAAAAGAACTCAACCAAAGCCATTGCTCCAGCTTTGCTCTCCCTCATACCAGCAAAATAGGCGTCGGAACTGCACTGTACATAGCCTTGTGCCAGCTGTCGGTGAACCTGGTTTCTGAGCCATTTTCTTGGAACAATTGCTTCTCCCAAACCCTTATCACAGTCAACCACAACAAGGTCAGCCGAATGTCTGGCAAGCCATTGTCTTGCCTTGCGATCCACCCAAGTCCAATTGTTCTGAAAAGCCTGCGGTTCAAAGTTGTCAAGACTATCCTCCAAAAGTCTCATGTACTGCTCAACGTGTTCATTCGCAGGCGGAGACCACGAACTAGGGAGTTTACATCTTGAAACTGTTTTCCGAAAGTCCTGTCGCTTGTCTTTGAAAAAGGCTTTCAAAAGCAATGAACGTCGCAAAGCGGGCAAACCAAACTTCAACTGTTGAACTGGTGTGTGTGACACTGTTGGAATGAACTTGCCGCCTTTGGAAATATGCTGAAGCACATACCCTGGGACTTGAAATTCGCTGGCAGGGGCAAGGTTGTGAACACCCTTGAACTTTGGCCGATGGAGTAAGGAAGAAAACCGTGACCTCAAAGTCTGTACAACGAGAAACTTGGAAAAATCCACAACGGTCTTCTCTTCATCGCACCAAAAACACCTGCCCCTGCTCCTCTTTGCTATTTTCCCTTTCCTTTGGACTTCGATTTGCCTTTTCCTTTGCTCTTGCCTTTGCCTCCTTTCTTTCCCTTGTCATCTGCAAACCGCACTGACTTGCTCCTGCCATTGCTTGGCGATCTGGAACTGCCTCGGCTGGAACGACGGTCTGACTTCAGGATTGAAGCTGGCCTTGGTGATTTTGACCTCTTGGAACTCTGACCATCGTGCGAACGACCACGGTGTCGAGGGGTTCCTGCACGCTTTGGCCGACCTCTGGAAGCCGGTTCTTTGGCAAAACCCTCCACATCTGGCGCTGCAATCTTGACATTGTACTTCTTGCAAAGTTCCGGGTTGTCGTGCACCAAGTAGGCTAAGGCACTGTCGCTTTTAAGTTTCACGGGCTTTTTTGCACCTCCCAACTTAGAAAGCTCAAAAAGAGCCGGGGAGAGCAAATCCTTCACTTCCATACTCTGCCATTTTTCTGAAGCTTCAAGAATAGCTTTGTCTCTTTTGGCTCTCAAATCCTTTTCCTTTTCGACACGTGACTGTGCCTTTGGGAATTCCGAACGCAGCAAACATTCAACGAAGAAAGCCGCCTTGGTCTGCAAGGTGTACTTTACTGACTGATCATCATAACCATGCTGCGCAAACCAACTCTCAAGCCTATCTGCCATCTTTTGCTTCAAAGCTGGAAGCTTGACCAAGCCATCATACATCTCCATGCATTTCTCCTGGTGCTTGCATACAAAGTCGAAACATTCTTGCGCATGTCTTCGCCTCATCGAAGACCATGCTTCTTTCAGATCATAGGCATCTGTCATGCTAGGGCTTTCGCTAGCAAAAGGTTGAGCATGAGCCATGTAAAGCTTGGTAAACTGCCATTGATGCTTGGATTCGGCTTCAAAATGTGGATGCAACACATTGTCATCCTTCAGTCTTTGGTATTTCTGCTGCATTGCCTTTTGAGTAGCCCAAGCCGAAAAAAGGTTCTTGGCTTCGACTTCAAACTCCTGGAACAGAACTCGTGTCTGAGGGTCTACCTCTTCTAGAATTTTCTTGGGTTCGACAAAAGGCTTCAAAGAAGGTAAAGAGGAAGAAGAACTACTTTGAGCAGCAGCAGCAGCAGCAGCTTGCTGAGTTTGTAGCAAGCTCATCAACAACCGGTTTTGCTCGACGAGCAATTCTTCCACCTTAGGTCCTCTCGCAGCACTAGTCGGAAACCCTCCAGGCAAAGCCGGGACTTCTGAAGACAAAGGACCACCCATTGCCGTCTGAACATGAGGAACTGGAGTTCTCGGAGACATTCTTTCTCTGGAAGTTGGCATGAAGGCATTCGGAGCATGAACGTTACAAGGAGCAGCAAATGATGCAGCCATTGCATTACTTGCTATGCCTAAATCAGGCATTTGTCCAGAAAGCTCATTGCTCATGGCGATAAACCTAACAAATTGCAAAGCACTGAGTTACTAGGGGTCTATCAAGCCAGCCCGGCGCCACACTTTTGGCACTACTTCGAGCTTTCGCCCTTAAAGGGCTCTTCGGGAAGGAACTTGTGCCATCAAACTGCGGCCATTGCGGTGCAAACATGTGACTTGACATCACATGAAGCACCCGTTTCACACTGCCAAGGAAAAAAATTTTTCCTTGTTTGGTTGATCGGCTTCACCGATTTGTCCAGGTGAGTGTCATTGACCATTCGTCTATGTTAGCTGTTTGCATGCCAAGGTTCGCTCATCGCAATAGTTTGGGGGAAGTTTCAACAGAGCTTAGAGCAAATCCCTACCCAGTCAGTCTGTTGGGATTGGTTTGCCCATGAAGCATGAGCAGGTGGAAGGTTTGCTTTGCCTCGGCTTTCTTTCATTCGCTCCCATGTGTCAGTTGCTCCCTGAGTGTCCATACCATGACGTTGACCTGACTGGCCGTTGACGGCCAAGCAGATGGAGCAGGTGGAACGGTTCGGAGAATGCCTTTCTTTTCCCTAGAAGTCTAACCACCATTGATGGGTCGTTTCGTCCCGAACCACCGAGCTGTTTTACTCGGGTTTTACACGACAAAACCATCCAGGTCTGTCCCACCCCACCAGGGACATTGAGCGGCACCGGAGCCACGTCGGGTGGCTTGAGCTCCCTTCAAGGGCCGTTTACGGGTGGCCGTTTACGGGTGGCCCTTGATGAAGCTGCCAGGCACTCTCTGGTGGTCCAGTGGTGTTTGGTGGTTACAGGTGGTGAACCTGGGTGGCAACACTGATCTTGGGTGGCCAAAAAGGACCAATTTTTCGGCGTTTTCCATTGGCTGGCGCCCAACAACGAACATCGCCCCGGCCCCCAAAAACGACCTCGCGACCCCTGGCGGCCCCTGGCGACCCCTGGCGACCGTGCGCCAGATCAGCTGGTGGCTCAACGACGAGGCCGCCAACGATCGCTACGAGCGCCTAGAAGAGGCGAAGCGGGGGGCGCTTCCGAAGAAGTGGTACTTAAAGAAAAAGACTTCTAGGACCCTCCAAGGGGTGCCCTGTCTGGAAGCCTATAGGTAGTGTGGGGTAGTTCATTGGACACCCCGACAGGAGAGACTAGGTTTAAGGCTTTAAGGAACTTAAGAGCGGCCTCCAACCTACTAGCGTGGGTCAAAACGGTGGATGGTTCTGGTAGGTTGCCCGGTGGAGTGGAGTGGTAGGTTGACCTCATTGTACGTCGTTTGATTTGTTCCCCCCAAAAAAACGACCAGCAGTTCGATGTCGCGAAGTGAGTGGATGTGAAGTGAGTGGGCACCCCGACTCCTTCCTTCCGTTCGGCACCGGTATCCTGGAACTACGGTGTATGACATCCAAGGCCTTTGACGGGCCTTAATTCACTGAAAAGGGTGTCATTCTGTAATAGGTATTTCTTTGAGCTTCAAGAGACCATCTAAGAGACCCGGCCTGAAACTCCGTTTTTCAGCCGAGGTCAGGTGCCCCAAACGCAATCTGAAGGGATTGAAGGGATTGAACTTGGGGATCTGAAGGTCAGGTTGCATCAGGACAAGGTAAAGACAGGTATGGTGCCCCCCTATATATATATGATTATATATGCATGTATAAGTATATGTATAATAATGTAGTGGTTTATTAACCAAGAGTCTACATTAAGGGGTTTTGGGTGAGATTTAGTAAGCCAGAGCACAAGCTACTCAGAGACAGTTCTCAGCACCTCATAGAAAGTTTTAGATGTATTTAGATGTCATGAGCACCAAGACTCAGTATCAATGCCACAATGCCTCTTGCTGAGCTCGATATGCCAGATTCTTGCTACTTAGTGTAGTTGATTGCAAGGAATACTTGGGCTATTTTACAGCAAGAACGTGTTTCCAAACCACCGTACCACTTGTTGTGTATTCTGTCTACACCCTCTTACCCTCTTCATTGTGGAATACTTTTTGACCGTCCTTCTCATCCAGTTCTGGTCCAAGCCACACGCGACGACCGACGCGACCAGCCGATCGACCTGTTTCCTTCGCTGCGAGGACGTCCGATCCGTGGAACGGGTCTCCTTCGACCGTTTGAACACACTACTTGACCCTACAGGTCAGTGAACGACCTCATGAAATACTGGTCAGTTGATCATACAAGTTCACAACTGGTCAGTTTTTGCAGGAAGGTTTGACTGGACCCGGGTCAGACTGGACCTGTAGACTGGACGAGTTACATGACTTACATCTTTAGAGTTAGGACAGTCTCGTGTCGGTCGACTCCGCCCCAGAACTGGGAGATGCTGCTGGCAGTCTGGGAACATTTGCTCTGCAGGGGCGCCTGAGAAACCTCCAGGCAAAGTATGAAAGTGAAACGGCGAAAGCTGGGTCATGGAACCAGGATACCTTGCTTGACCTATCTGGAAGGTCAAGCTACTAGCGGTGCTCTGCATGGTGGAAGCTTTGACCCACTTGGAGCCCTGAACCAACTGCCTGCTCACTCCTTTGGGCATGTACCGCCGTCTTGCTATAGTGGATCACCTGCTCAAAAACCCACTGTTTGAGGGATTGGTTTCCCGAGAGATGAGCAATTCGGACACTTCGGCTCACCTATTTTCGAGGGACATCTCTGCACCGTACCGTACCCCGCCACTTTGTCCCGTGCCTGTCCCGTCCACGACTTCCCTGAAAAGTGGACCGTGCTTCGGTCAAAAAGTGGTTCCATCGCGCAGTTCGAGGTCACTGAGGTTCTAGGTCAGCAATGTTCATCTGAGCAACGTCTAGGGATGTTCAACGAGAACGAAGCGGGATGGTTCATGGCAAGCGGTTCGAACCGGGCCGTTCCTTCCTTGGAGGTTCCGTGGATGGTAAGACCTCAAAGAAGTACGTGGAAGGGTTGCTACGAACGTAACAAGTGCATCGCTATTCACAAGGGCAATACTACCAGGATTAAGAAGCTACTAGTAGCAAAGAGCATTACTATACTAGGATTAAGAAGCTGCTAGTAGCAAATTTCATCACTACTAGTAGCTAGAAGCTACTGGGGACAATGACATCATAGGTGGAAGGATTGCTACCTGGACCTTCTAAGGAATGTTCAATCATGGAGATTTACAGGTCGGGTATGTGGGATGAACAGTTGAAGGAGGAAAACCGTTGTTTCTGCCTTTGCCTCACGCTTCCGCTTCGCTGGAGCACGTTCGGTATGGTCTCAGACTCGATCGAACGTGTGGTGGACAAAGGGTGAAGAATCCGAGAACTGAAGGCTGTGAGGAACCCCACCTCCCCTGGACCCCCCGGGTTCCGGGTCCCGGAACGGAAGCTCAGACTGGTCGGACGGTCCGATGCTTTCGACTCCTCTCCCCAGGTTTTCACTTGGAGGAGCTGCAAGACTGCGGCTTCGACCAGAGCATCGCCCAACGCTTCCTGGAGAGGCGCGGCGTTCACGGCTTTCACGGCCCACTCACGCCCCCACACCGTGGAGCGATTGGTTTCCCCGCTTTCCTCGGACGCCAGAACGGGCCGCAGCGGACCGGGGGAGGTGCCGGTCCGGTCGTGCGGGGAGGTCAGGGTGAGGTCGCGTTTGTAGCGTCGCTCTCAGGTGTCTGCACTTTCGCATCGGAGAGGCACGGCAAGTGAAGGGAATGATGGAGCCTCTCGTGGACATCGTTGCGCTGTGATTGGCTGATGGGGTTCAGACAGTGAAGAAATGGGAGGCTGAAATCACATGATGAAACCATTTTCCATGCAAAGAATGACCCACTTTAGAATTCGATCAGATGAAGTGGTGACATGCCTGGACTGTCAGCAGGGCTGTCACTTGGCAGCACGTCATGGCATAGGGTGAACCTGCTTTTTTTTTCCCACCGATAATGAACAGATTATCAGATTAGCAGCGGGAATATCCATCCCTCGAGCATAGATATAAACAATCCTGGCGGGTACATGTGCATGCCACATAAACATGTAGACATCAGCCGAAATCAATTCGTGCATGTGCGAATTCGGGTGCGAAGAACTTGGGTCACAAGGAAGGAGGATCCGCCTTGGCCGAAAAGCAGCGGCTTCCCCAAAAGGACGTGAAGAAGAGAGCGTGCCGAGTTCGTTTCTTCATGAGTGGCTGTGGCTGAGGGCGTCCCCACTTCTGCAGATGTGCCCATTTCTGTGAAGGTTTTTGGAAATCTCCGGGCTCTTAAAGAAAGGCCGGAGATGCGTACAGAGCAATGAGATGGCTGTGAGGACTCGGAAGTTGCAGGATGGAAACAGCTTGACGAAAAGACATCTACGTCTGCACAGCGGTACAAGAACCTGAGTCTGAAGCTGATTCTCAGCAAGTGTGGCAATCAGTTGCACAGGCAACATAGGGTGTACAGGTGGCAAACACATTGTATTGGAATATACAGTATCTTAACTGGGCTAGGAAGACCCCAAAGGACCAGAAGGGAGAGAAGACCCCAAAACAGGTCAGCCGGTTGCGCCATCAGGTCTGCCATCAGGTCAGCCCTCTTCGGTCCACCTCGACAGTGAAGCCACTTGGCGATGCTGGTGACTGAGACCCTTAGAGTGTTGATTTGAAGGGAAGGGGAGACCCCCCCTGTCCTGAACTTGCTTAGGTTCGCTCCCTGGTCGATCCCCCCCGCATCCTCCCTCGCATCGATGTTTCCCCCGTGGTCCCAGTGTCAATCGACGACGCAGCGAGCGCGACTCGCAGCCATTTCGACGTCCCAAAGGGAATTGCTCGTCGCGGATGAGAGCGAGACGATCACGGCGGACCCTCGCCGCGCCATCCGCGCGGAAGAAGCCGGATCGGCCGAAGGCCAGCGGTGCACGGAAGATCGTGTCAGTCACAGGCAGGCAACGAAGCCTAGAATTTGGGGGTCTAATGAAGAAAGGTGTATTGGCGTCCACACTGGTTTGGATGAGTGAACATTAAGTATTTGATCATTTGCTCAGAGAAAGAACGGCCCCTCCAAAGTAAGAGCGCCGCAACCATACAAGTGAGTTGTCGCTCCAACGGGAGTCGAAAGACGATGAGACATGCGACCCGAAACCCTCGGTGACCCGAAGAAAAGGACCTTTCCCATGGTTCGAGGTCCGCTGATCGTGTCCAAGTGCGGGGTTCGTTGGGGGAACAGATCCTGGTCTTTTTTGAGACAGTTTGTCCATGTTTGTCCGGTCTTTCAATATGGAGCATGACCAAGACACGCCTTAGTCCATTGAAGTTGCAGCACAACATGTGATATACGTCAAAGAACACACATGTTGTCCTGTTTCGCTTGCAGCATCAACTCGGAAAGGCGACAGCGTTTGATGGGTTCCTCAAAGCTGTCACCTGCACATTATGACTTGATCGATTCCAATCAACACGATATTGGTATTAGGTGGTTGCCCACATCCCAACAGTGTCCGCTGTTTGTCCGCTAGCTTCGGGCGTAGCACCACATGGTGGGCCTGGAACAGACGTAGACGTGCTCAAAAGAGAGGAACCAGACGACTGAAAGTTCTGCAAAGTAACAAGCATTGTCACTGGGCTCAGTTTCAAGCAAGCTTTGCAAGCTTATCAACCAACAAGCTTCAAAGAAGGGAAGGGATCTCGAAGTCCAACAAGGCTCATACAAAGACAAATGCGATCATTGCTGCAGATTTCTGTGGCTCGGGATCTTTGGAAGACGGTTTGTAAGTGCCCTGCTCTTCACGGAGAAAGAGGCAGAGAGAGGTTGGATGCGAGTTCCCTTGGTCAAGCAGAGTCAACGCGTCACCGCATGGTGGGAGATGATATTTGCAGGTCCATCCTTGCAAGTCCTTCTTAATTCACATTATAGGCAAAACCTTGGCAGCACATACCCCACTAAACATGAGGTGGACAGTTCTGTGAAATTTTCACTTTGGTATGACCAACTCCAGTATTTCATGAGGGAGACCTCGCTGACGCGAGACCCCATTCCACTATGATTTTCCAGGAGGCCTCTATTGAGTCGATTAAGGCGAGGCGATGGAAAAGACAGCCAACCTCTCGCTGGTGCATGTGAAAAGCTTGACCCGAGCAGTCAAGTTCGCAGAAGCCCTTAAAAGAAGGGTTTGTTGGGCTGGGTTTGGTGATGTATTCAGGAGAGGCCTAGCTATCCCAGAACTTCCAGGTGGATGCTTGGGCTACCTGGCCAAAACTCGCTTGGGGTCATCAGGAGGCTCCCTAGACAACTAGACCACTAGCGAAACCCCAGACAAGGACACGGCCTCGGCTGATGTTGGGACTCGGACCGGACAGTTCCCTCCTCGTTCCTCAGCTCACCCGGTGTTGGAAAGGCGACAGTGAACGTCCCCAGCGGGTCGTCGGGGGATGTGTTCTGGGACGTGACCGCGAAAAGGCACCTCGGGCGAGGTCAGAGCCTGCCTTTCGGTCACCATCACGTCGAGTTCGCACAAGACATTCTTGACGTGCTTGCAGGAGTGGTGCAAGAGATCCTGTTTGTTGACCAGTCCGATGACCCCAGAATAGATCATTAGACAACTAGATTCACTCTTTTAAATTGCACATGTGTGCAACATCGTGGAACAATACATGACACTTAATGATCCATGGGCCTCAGAACCCACCATTCGGCCCAGCAAACCTGGGACAAAGCATGCGGAGAAAGAGTTGCCGACCAGAGCAGAAAGGGCGCAGCTGCGCATCAGGGGTCCCACTCATACCCCTGCAGCTTTTTCATGGACTCTCAAAACCACTGGGTTGTAAGAGGAAACTGGTCTTCCACAGGGTAAACATCAGGGTCCATCTGAGTTTGCAGAGGGGGGTAGATGGCCGGGTCCATCTGATGAAAGCCTTGGTCCACTGCTTTTTACGAGAGAGAACCTTTTGGACGTGAACCTCATTGGCACGGCCCGTCCGGACCCGCTTTCTACGTCCATGGGACCCTGGGTTTTGACGTCCACGGAGTGCAGAGATCCTGATCCAGTTCGACGTCTGAAGCGCAGATCTGACGCTTTCAGACCAGCGATTCGCGCAGAATGACCAAGAAGTACAGATCACCTGCTTTTCACCTTCGAGCGGGACACCCCACGAACGGCGCACGGACGGGTGGAACCTGGGAATGTTCGCAGAACGGGTGGAACCCCCTTTTTGAGGGAACGACGTCGTTCTTCTCCCAGCCGATCGCCCTGAAATTTTGGGGAAACCTCCTTTCCGGGCCCACCGCGGAGAACGGCTCATCGCCCTCAGCATCCCCTGCTTCGGGTCCAGGCGCTGCGGCCTTTGCCCCATGTGCCGCGAGCAGCTTCGACCTTGGCTGTCTCGCAGTAGGGGGCACTCAGCTTGGTCCGGACAGAAGCTTGACCAGTCGGCGGAAGCTCGGCTGGTCGGCAGCTCGAACGCAGTGCACTGACGGGTAGTTCTTATATTTTTTTCTGGGGTATTTGGGGAGCTGTTGCATGGACTTTTTTCCTTTGGCGTTTGGTTGCAACAGGATTTGCTGCCTGCTGCTCAACCGCTTTCTTTTGAAAGATAAGCTCAGCTGATCAAAAGATTGCTTGTGATGTGGATGCACTAAGTTTGGCATTTTGGGGACCTAGTCTGGGATTTCGCCCAACAAGAGTATGGATTTGGATCAGTATATATAACCTAGCCCAGTTCTTAATCTTTACTAGGCGGAGGCCGTCGCAAGTAGGTTGGAGGCCATTGGTCTTGGTTGGAGGCCACCGCTCTTAGTTTCCAGTTTGCACTCCATGTAGGTAATGCGAATGATTTACCCAGCGACGGGAGGTCCACTTTCAAAGCACACTGTCGCTGCTTTCTATTTCGATTGTCCGGAAATCATGTTGACTCTAGAAATTCTTTCTAGTATACTATACGTACTATACCCTGCTGGAACCCTTTGTATCTCCAAGTGCCCAGGCACTCCGTGTAATTTACCATATTTGCCTACATTGGGTGTTTTGAGGGTCTGGGGTACATGACTCCGCTTTTTGAAAACCACCTTCCCATGTTCAATTGATCTTCATCCCTCAAACTCATGGAACGAGTTCCGCTTCCGCATTGGTGCTGCTGCGCGGGTGGAAGAATTCGCCTCGGTGCGGCTTTTGGAGCGGGATATGGCGGGATGACATTATCCCGGCAAGAGACCCTGCGTGAGGTCTGGAGGTGTAGCAGCAGAAAGTCTAGAGATCTAGATGCATTGGGGTCGAGAGAGCACATGTGACCTTGAAGTGCCTCGTCAGAAGGTATTTGGACCCTCCTGGCACCCACCCCAGACAGCTTCTTAGAAGGTACTTGCAGGCCTAAGGGATTGCAATCGGGAGGCCCTTGGACTAGTGGCGTTTTGGTCAAATTTCCTGAGCCGAGCCCAAAGGGGTCGTTCACAAAAGTCGGTCTCCCTTCTCAAGCAGCTACACACCGGTCGGAAGGGTCGGAAGATTTGCGTGGAGTCGTGTAACCCTCGAGCCAGTCTTGTTATGCCTTTTTGGGATGAACCCAGAACTTCCGTTGTGACTCATGAACTAGGCCACCCCTGGAAGTTGTAATGCGCCACTACCAGGTCGGGGTAGAATGACTCAAACTTGGACTCTCAGACTCTCAAAAAGGAAATTGCCAAGCTGACGCATCGCGATGTCTTCGCTACTGGTAACAAGGGCAGTAGCGATGCCGTTGTTACTAGTAGCGATGCCAGGAGCTACTAAGAGTGTCCGG